TAAAAGAGAATATTGCTTATGTCTCATCCCCTAATGATTGGATGATACCCTATGGCATATGAGGTTAGGACACATTAATATCAAACGAATGAAAAGATTAAAAAGGGATGGGATTCTTCAAAATTATAAGGGAGATTTATCGAAAGTGTGCAAGTCTTGTGTACAAGGAAAATTAATAATGAAAAATACCACCAGGGCAAAAAGAGTTATTAGTGTATTAGAAATCATTCATAGTAACATATGTCGACTTATGAATGTGACCACCAAAAGTAAAAAAAGATATTTTATCTCTTTTATAGATGATTACTCACGATATAGACATGTGTTCCTTATTCATGCAAACTCAGAAGCCCTAGAAAAATTCAAAGAATATAAGGCCCAGGTAGATTATCAAACCAACCTGAAAATTAAAGTCCTTAGAACCGATAGAGGGGGAGAATTTTCATCTGACATTTTCAAAGAATTGTGTATCGAAAATGGGATCATCCATCAGTACATCATGCCTTATACTCCTGAACAAAATGATGTAGTTGAGAGAAGGAATATGACTTTAGTGGAAAAGATAAGGAATATGATGGGGCATGCAAATCTCTCATTGGAGTGTTGGGGAGAAGCCGTATTAACGCCATGTTACATCCTTAACCGGACTCCCACAAAAGCTGCCCCACTTACTCATCACGAAATTTTCACAAATCGTACTCCCTCCCTTGAACACCTGAGAGTTTGGGGTTGCTCAGCCCATGTCCTTATTCCACATCAAAATCGAACCAAACTACAACCCAAAACTGCCAAATCTATTTTCATTGGTTACCCAGATCATAGTAAGGGGTATCGATTCTACAACCTTGAAACAGGTGCGTTTATTAAAAGTCGTGATGCTCACTTCTTCGACCTTGAAGCAATGGTGAGTAGAAAACAAGCCAACTTTTATAAGGAGGCCCAAAACAAGGATGTAGTTCAAGACCCTGAACCTAAAACTTCTAAATCAACCCAACCTAATCATGAACTCCCTACAGAAAGTGAACATTTACCTGAACCAAGACGAAGTAACCAAGTCAATAGACCACCTCTTTATCTAAAACAATTTGTCTATATTGGAGAATATTTTGATAAGGTTGGGGAAGATCCATATTCAAAACCTAAAACTCACCATGAAGCCTTGACCTGTCCTGAAAGGGAATACTGAGTAGAAGCCATGAAAGATTAGTATGCTTCCATTAACCAAAACCATATATAGAAATTAGTACCTCTACCTCATAAACGTAAGGCCATTGGTTGTAAGTAAATTTTCAAGAGAAAGATGAACTCTGAAGGGAAAATAAAAAAATTCAAAGCTAGGTTGGTTGCAAAGGGTTTCACCCAAAAAGAAGGGATAGATTATGAGGAAACTTTTTTCCTTGTTGCCAAATTTCTATCCATTCAAATCCTTATAGCTATAACTGTCCATTTTGACTTTGAGGTTCATTAAATAGATGTTAAAACAACCTTTCTAATGGGATTTAGAAGAAGAAATTTACATGACCCAACCTGAGGGATTTGAGAAGAAAGGGAAAGAGAACCTAGTATGCAAACTTAATAAATCTCTTTATGGCTTGAAACAAGCATCGCGACAGTGGTATATAAAATTCCAAGAGACCCTTGCTCTTGCAGGGTTCTCCACAAATAATAAAGATTATTCCACATATCAAAATGTCAATAGGAGTGATGTGGTTTTTATATCATTATAGGTGGATGATATGCTAATTGTTAGTAGCTCAATTGCCTTAGTAGTAGAGACGACAATTTTATTGCACAACACTTCGATATAAAGGATCTTGGAGAAACTTCATATGTGTTGGGCATCAAGATAATAAGAAACAGGAGAGAGAAGACTATCCAACTTTCTCAGGCAACCTACTGTAAGAGGATATTGGAAAAGTTTGATATAAGCAAGTGTAAGCCCATATCTACCCCAATTGACAAAAGACAAAAGCTTTGTAATAAAATGTGTCCTACCGAAGACATGGATATAAGAGCCATGGAGAAAGTACCATACAAGAACGCAGTTGGGTCCCTTATGTATGTCATGACGGGAACAAGGCCTGACTTGTCCTTCGTCATGAATCTGGTGAGCTGTTTCCAAAGCAATCTAGGAGATGAGCATTGGAAATCAGTTAAAACACTTCTCAGCTATTTAAAGGAGACCATGAACTTTACACTCACATATAAAGGGGGAACTGAAATAGCAATAGTGGGATATTCAGATGCAAGTTATCTCGCGGATCCAGATAATGTGAAGTCTACATCTGGGTATGTGTTTATGCTTAGAAGGGATGCGATTTCTTAGAAGTCAAATAAACAAGATATTGTGGCTTTGTCCACTATGGAATCCGAGTATGTGGCATGCTGTCTAGTAGCCAAGGAGGCCATGTGGTTTAAAAAGTTTTTTAATCAACTTAATTTTCATCCTGTACGTTGTGAGGCAGTACCGATTTTATGCGACAACACTGCGGCTATTTGTATCTCTAAGGAGCCTCGGTTTCACAAGAATTCCAAGCATATCAAGCCATACTTCTATCACCTAAGAAATGAGGTGAGATTGAAAGAGATCGAGATCAGCTACATATCTACAGATTTGATGATTGCAGACTCTCTGACTAAAGGAGTTGTCCCTAATGTTTTTGTAAGACATGTGACAGAAATAGGGATGAGAGAAAGTGATGAAGTGATAATGTAAGGCCCTCAAAGACCAAATGGGAGATGTTAGGTTTATGTGGCCTTTAAAGGCCATATAAGTATGTAATGAAAAACATTTATTATAGTGGAACATAAACTCAGTAGGAGTGTGGTCCCTCATGAATCATACTAAGCAAATGATGTTTGCTGATACCAGACTGTGCTTGACGATCTAGGCCAGTCGGTTGGAAAACCCAAGGTACCTTCGCATAAAAAATAAACCGAGAAAGGTTTTGGGTTAGCCGATGATGAAGTCGGAACTTATGCCTGGATGAATGAGCCAAGGGATTGTGTAACCCTTTTGTGTAATGGTAGGCCTACAGAGACGGGGGTCAAATCTTCATTCATGTTCTATCACACGGCATGCATATCGATAGATTGTTCGAGAAAACCAGTTATCCACCTTTGGGTGAAGCATATGAATGTGCGAGAGAGATACCCATATGTATCATAGAGTTATGGTTGCATCAGGTCATGGTGACCTTGACTCGTCTCTAAGGGAGGACCTGTAATCCACAGACTGGGATTGCGACCCTTTGGCTCATCAGCTAGATTTTGGTGACCCGCTAATGAGTCCCTGCTTGGACTGTGGGTCATGGGAAACACTGGGTCAGTTTGATAAAGCAAGTATGGTCTGTAGTCCATAGTTGAAGGTGGAGTTCCCCATGATCGTTGATAAAATTCCTAAACCATATGGATCCACTTCCCATCATATTAATTTAATTGTGTTCATTTTATTATAGAAATTATTTTAGATTTATTATTTGAATTTGTCTGAATCTTTAATATTTTATTTCTGATTTTTGGAATTATAAAAATGAAGTTATTATTTTTAAAAATTATATAAAATTCAAATAATGTTTAAATAAAATTTTAAAATATTTATAAAATTTTCATGGGGGCCCACAGTGCACATGGGCCCACCATGTGGCAAATGGGTGGAGGCCCACATATGCCACATATGGGTGGCACGCCCCACCCATTGCTTCCTTTGATTATTACTTTGATATCAAGTTTTGTAATTTTTGGAAAGTCCATCTTATAAGCATGTGGTCAAATATTGTTTGGGAAATATTGACCATAACTTATATTGATTATTGATAGAATATCTGGACTTGATATTTCTTGATATATTCTTATGGAATATATGAGATGGATAATGTAATTTTATAGAATGTATGATATATTTAATAGATTTAATTATTTAATATATTGATGGGAAAATGGTTTAAAAAAAGGGGGGATAATGGTTCATGCACTTCCATAATGTTGATGGCCCATCTATAGAATGGATAGCTTAGATCTCTCACCCACAAGTCACCTTGATCAACAGTCCATATTTATTCTCAAGAAAGAAGCAAACTATGAGAAACCCTAAAAAAACCCTAGACCTAAATTTCACTATAAATAGATGTGCTCTCCCCCCATCTCAACACACCTCTCTCTCTTCTTAGATTTCTCTGTTGACCTAAAGATACTAAGGGTTTGGGAAATCAGGGTTAAAGCTTTAATTAATTTTGAGGTTAGGGTTTTATAGAAATTTAAGGGTGGTTACCTAGTTTGGCCGAAATTAGCTTTCCTAGTTCGAGATTGAAGCTAAACCGCTGACCCCGCGTCATTGGATGTGGTGACTCAGTGTGGGGTACAATAAGCCCGGTTGAGGTAATCTCTCCGACATTTTCTCTTACTTACTTGCTCTCTTTTATTTTTATATTCTCAAGCATAGTCTTAGGTTTAATAAATGGCATCAAGTAGTTGAGTTTTATTTTATTGTTGTGCTGTCTTACTTTGGAATATTTATTGATTGTAATAAGACCATCTGTAAGTGATCTTTGTATCAAAATAAAAAGGGGTGATTATTATCATTAAAAAAAAAAATTTATATTCTCTGGCAAAATATCACATCGGTCTTTCTTTCATTAACTGTCGTCTTCCAAAGTCACAAACACCCACGTTTCCGTAGTCACTTCCGAAAGTGTTAAAAGGATGAGAAGAGTTACTTTGGGCGTACAGTGGACCCTTAATATTTCAAAAGCTTTTCACTTGAGCACACTTCAAAAGCAAACTTCTATTCATTTCTCAAGTTTCATTCTTCTCTTGGAAAATATTTAAAATATGCAGTTTTTCATCGTAAACAACTACGAAAAGAAAAGAAATCTACATAATCAGGTTAGTTTTACCAGCAGATGGCTGCAAAGAAGAGTTCAAAGAAGGGTAATTGCTTATACTTCTAGACCCAACCCATCAAATCATATGACGCAATATCTGGACCCAAATTTTCATTATCAACTGCAAATGGTGATAAAAACATCCCAGACCAACCAAAGGAGTTTCATCACTAAAAAACATTGTCATGAATACATTGAAGAATGATGCATAATATGAATACTTACATCATTTTCTTTTCATATAAGCATATCTTGTTCAATTAAACGTCACATATAAGTATGGACAAGAGATGAGGGTCAGCTGCTCCACTGATTACAGCACCTCCATCCCTTATATCCATTAGATATGCCAAAGTTCTCTCAGAGATAATTTCACCAGGAAAAAGCAAAGGAATACCTGGTGGATAAGGACATATGATCTCACCACAAATTTTTCCAATGCTCTCTTCAAGGTTAGCTCTCGTCTTACTCGCAAAGAATGCATCCCTTGGACTCATTGCTATATGTATATGGTGAAAGGGAAAGCATTCATTAACCTCATTCCCCTTTCTCCTATCAGAATCGAGCTCATTCTCTCCTAGGGAGCGCCAAGCTAAGCTCTCAATTGCATGTATAAGCTTCTTCACATGCTCTCTACATGATCCAAGAGTAACGGCAAAGGTAAGGGAACGTGCCCCTGCTAACTCAGAAATGACCCCATATTTCTTGATCAGGATATCATCTGCCTCATAGCCTGATAACCCAAGCTCCCAAACCCCGACTGTAACACGTAAAGGGTCCACTTTTGGAGAGCCCACAAAGTCTTTAGAGCTCAAAACTGAGACACACGAAGCCTCTAGAATTCCCAATGTTGCTTCACGGGCCAAAGCAATCGCTTCCTTAAAGATGGTATCTGGTTTCTTGCTCAATTGAGCTCTCACAGCATCTAACGAAGCAAGAAGCAAGTAGCTTGGACTACTGCTTTGAAGTGCTTGAAGGCACCGCCCCACTCTCCCCCTATCCACCAATTCTCCTTGAACATGGAGCATTGAGGACTGAGTGAGCGAAGATAAAACTTTGTGGGTTGATTGCACAGCCAAGTCAGCACCTTGCTCTAGGGCTGTTTTTGGTAGGGTGGGGTCAAATTTGAAGTGGGCCCCATGCGCCTCGTCCACAATGACAGGAACACCCTTAAGATGGCAAAAATCTGTAATTTTCTCTAGGCTATCGCAACAAACACCTTGGTAAGTAGGTGAGGTGACCAACACAGCCCCAACTTTCCTACCTTGATCTTTGAGATCACTAAAGGCTTTCTTCACTTTCAATAAATCAATGGTTCCAGCAATATCCCATCGAGAATTATATTCGGGTATTATATATTTTGGCATCACGCCTGAGAAAACCATGCCAGATATTGCGGATATATGTGAGTTTCTTTGGAGAATGAGATTGTCTCCAGGTGAACATGTGGCCATGATCGATGCATGGACCCCACAAGTGGTTCCCCCAACTAGAAACCATGTCTCAGATGACCCAAATAACTCTGCAGCTTGTTTCTGGGCATGGAGTATGGGTCCTGTTGGTGCAAAGAGGTTGTCTAGCTCTTGAAGCTCAGGCAAGTCATGTTTGAATGTCTCCATTCCAATAAGTTCAGATAATAAAGGTGGGGCAGCTCCACCCCTGTTATGTCCTGGGAAGTGAAAGCCAGCAACATCTAGTGAGGCAGAAGCTTTGAGTGTATCGAGCAAAGGGGCAGATTCCTTTTGAATTGATGGGGAAGTAGAGGTCCAAGTATTGGTGCTTATGTTATCCCTTTGAATACTTGCAATGCTCCTACGCATAATGCCTTTTGGTTGCAGGTTATTGATGTTGTCCTGTCATGGGAACATATGAAAATGGAATGATTATTTAGTGTTTCATAACACTTGGCTGCCCTTTCTTTTGGCGTTAATAAAAATTAATAGATGAAGCAACCAAAATTATTTCAACATCTGTACATTTTCAGTTTCTATAATATTAAAAAGGAACTATAAGAAACTGGAAATCTAACAAAATGTGGCATAAATGGCAAACAATGAAAGAGTGCAATTCTAACAAACAGATTTTATTATTTTCTATTCAAGTGGATATTCCGGGTTTTTATCTCCAACCACAATATGCAGAAATTCTGGAAGTCAAATTTCATAGCCCTGTTCGTGGGAACCACCAGAATTTCAATCAGGACATCGAGCATGAATCTAACAATCTCAGCATTCTCAAAAATTTATTGTGTATAGACAAAAGCCACATAGGTTGAGTCTTTTGTGCTACAAGGCAAGAGGAAGAATTCCAGAAGCTTTATGGCAAAGGCACCACCACATAGGTGAATTTGCACAAAGTAACCAAAGACTAGACCAGGGCAGTGATTTATACAGATAATCGCAAATGACAAGGTGGCGATCATTTCATCCACTTAATGAGGTTATATAGGAAGTTTGTAGATCCTATAAATTATAAGGAATTCTCCTCCATTTCGCTTTCTGCATCAAAGTTTGAACACAGGTAATGGCAGCTGGAAAACACCATTCAGGCTTCATATGGCTTGAACTTTTGGGCAACACCAATGTTAGTGAGAAAAACACATAAAACACAACTAAAGCCATGATGACAAATTTTGACATATGAAATGAGTCATACACAAGTGAAAAGGAATAAAGAACTGCATAGATTACAACTCAGAAAGTCCACCCCACGTTCCCTCAAAGCTGAGACCATCTCCGGAACATAAGTATCTAGCATAAACCAACACCCCCCCACCCCCCCCCCCCCCCTCTCTGTCAAGAGATCCCTGAGAGAATTCCAAATATATGAAAGAAACTTGCCCATATCTAAATAAATCTCAAAAGTCAAAAACCAAATATCGCCATTAATACAATGGCTGGAATCTATTTGAATAAATTAAGAAGCCTAATGACAAACCAACCTTACCTAAAAAAGAGTATTTTAGGACACGATAAAAATTATTAATCCACCCTCATAACTAATTTACAAATGAGACAAGTTATTGCCCATATAGAACTATCAACGTCACCTTGACAGCATTCCATCCCGCTTTGCTCAAAATAACAATCATATCAATTAGGAATAGTAAACAAGAATGGGATGTCCATTGGCATCTATTCCATCAGTATATCTGCAGGAATCTAGTACTACCTAGATACGTGGGAAATGCAATGTAGCAAATCAGAAGTCCTAGTGAATATAGTAATAATCTACTTAAGTATATTTGATGAGGGTGCAGTTTGTATAAGCTTGCAACCTTATTTGTAGAATTAAGGTTGCAACACTCTACAACGTCCATTTTACTTGGACAACATAGATTTTACACATCTTTTAAAATTGTGTCAATACAGGGCACATATTTTAAGATAGTGTCCAATCTACACCGTCCAAATAAAATGGACGGCGTAGATTATTGGAACCTTATTTCTACAAATAAGGTTGTAACCTTACATAAACCTTTTCCATTTGGTGCAATTGTCCATATAGAAGTTGAAGTCAGTTTGAATTACACTGAAAGGTAAAAGACAACGAAGAGGATCTTACTCACGATTAGATTTAGACAGTGTATTGCTTCATTCTCTTCTGAGAAATAAGTGAACAGCCTAGACAATACAGAAAGGGGTATAGAAGAAAAATATCCTCTGTTACAGAGTACCTAAAAATGACCCTCCATAGGTGCATCAACAGTCTTGGTATCAATAAGATAAATGGGAAAATGAGGACAAAAACAAATTAGTGCTGACTGAGTTTGTTATCTCAGAGAAAGAAGGTTCTCCACCCCAAACACCGATTAATATTCATTATTCATTTAAATTTAAATGAAAAATTTAGAAAGATATCGCACATAGAATTAGTGCTAGGTGGGTGAAAAGGAGATGTATATCTAGAGTTTTATGTGATTGTCGCATACCATTGAGACTGAAGGAAAAGTTCTATAAGACGGCAGTAAGACCAACCATACTTTATGGGACAAAATGTTGGGCAGTCAAGAAACAACATATCCATAGGATGAGCGTAGCTGAGATGTGGATGTTGCGATGGATGGGTCGCAAGACAGAAAAGATAAAATTTGAAATGAATATATATAAAGGAACTTAAGTGTGGCTTCAATAGACGATACAATGAAGAAAAATATACTTAAGTGCGCTAGCCATGTGAAGCATAAAACTACTACAATACCGGTTAGGAGGTCCGATTTGGTTCAAGTGGAAAGTTCTAAAAGGGAAACGAGAAGACCCAAAAGGATATGGATAGAAGTAGTGAGAAAAGATATGGTAACTTTTGGCCTTACTGAGGGCATGGCCCTTGATAGAGAAGAATAGAGAAACGGGATTCATGTAGTCCCTAATCATTGAGATAAGGCTTGGATGACAATGATGATGATGATGATTTATGTAAATTTAATTATTTTAAATTTCCACAGAGGAATAATTCCCACTCGCTTTCTATCTCTAACAAGTGGGCGTACAATACTCTCTCTCTCTCTCTCTCTCTCTCTCTCTCTCTCTCTCACACACACACACACACACACGCACACAGTGGGCTGCAACCCTCTCTCTAACAGTGGGCTGCAACCCATTCGCTCTCTTTAACAAGTGGATTGTGACCCTCTCTTTATCTCTAACCGTCTAGTGAAGAGCTGCGACCTACTTTCTTTCTCCCTTTAATAAAGAGTCCGACCTGCTCTCTTTATGGCAGTGGGAATGCAATTGTACCCGTTCTTTATTGACAGGCTGGAATCCAACATACCCTCTCTCTCTTGCTCACTATCTTGCCAGTTTGCTGGTCTTGACACAACAAGTTGGAAACTACATTTGAGTTTGTTCCCTTACCACACCCCCAAAATTATTTCAAGAATTTTAAAATTTGTCTGGGGGTGCAGGTGCTCTTATGGAGTAGGGCCCACCATGTGGGAGGCCCACCATAGTAGGGTGTGTTCCCCACTTGGGTCCCACATGAACTATCACTTTCCACATCTTGCTGCCTCTTTCTCTTATTTCTTTTTGTTGAAGACTTTTAGAAAGAAGTCAAATATTTAGAAAATATGCAATCGTTTTGATTGAGATAGAGAAAGGCTTGATTGAGTAATTTCATACAAAGTTATTCCATACATTGAGATTTTATGGCACATACTACAATTTTATAAAATCAAATATTTGATGGGAATGGATCAAGGAAACCTAGGGATAAGGCTTATAGAACCTTCTCTTTAATTATGACGGCTGATTTAGGGAATGTATCGCTGAAAATCTCGTCATCCCATAGATCTCCTTAGATTGATGGTCAAGATTAAGTCTCAATATGATGACAAACTCTAGACCCCATAAACCCTAATTTACATCTATAAATACACCTTGGGGGTGGCCTCTAGACCTCCCTCTTGTCTCTCTCCCTTCCCTAGGGCTCCACACCATTCTCTCTCCTCTCTCTTTCTCTCTCCTCCCTTGTCTCTAGCCTAGACAAAGAAAGGGGTGTCGCTGCCCAAGCAACACACAAGGAGCGGCACACCCATGGTAGTAATAAGTCTAGGTTATGAGTCAGCCCTATCTCATAGTCTAAACCTTGGACATGCTCTCATTCTTGATTAAGGCTTTGCCTTGGCTTCCCATTTTGTAAGACAACGTGAAAGGCCTAGATCACGTGCACCATTAGTGTTGGAGATCCGGGTGGGGTGTGCTAAGTCCTTGAAGGTGATCCAACACAAGGTAATGTTGTCTTTTATAGCTCGATGTTCTTGATTGACTGTTTTACATTATGTCTTGATTTTTTGTTAATGAGAGAATTTTTATTTATTTTTTAATGGCATGCAAGTGAGAATCCTAGATTGTATTAGGATCTTATTTTATAATTTGTGAGTTGAAATTGGTCTTGTAAGTGGTCCAGCCCGTATAAATAAAAGAAAGGAAGAAAACATTTGAACAGTATATAATTGGCTAGAACCACTATGCCTCCTTTCACAAATTACTTGTTGGACACACCCAGATGGTTGAGATACAACACAATCATGACACAAGAATAGCTCATGTGCTATAAAAAGGTGTGAGGTATGCAACTTGTTAGCAACCTCATTAGGCATGTTCTTTAAGATATCAATGAGGTCACTAATTCCTTAGTGAGGGGTATGCCCTCCCAATCTCGTGATACAACATCTTCCTCACTATATATGACTTATAACACCAGTAGCATATGTAATTGTTGTATAACGATTGTATGTATACAAATGATATACATATACTTGCTCTCTTGAGAACCCAACCAAACAATGGTCTAAAGAAAATAGAAGCAACAACAAGTGCCCCTTAAAGCAAATAAACCATGACTTAATAATACCGATATCATAGAATAAAGCCCATTAACTAGATTGGTTAAAAGAACTTAAATATATTTACAGAAGTGAGGAGCAAACTGTTCAGCTAGCAACATGAAGGATTTTACAATGGTGTGATAGCTTTTTGTATCCTCCGCTTTGATGAGTATTAAGAAAAATTCAATTAACTTCAAAAATAGGAAGATAGAAACACAATAAAACTATTTTATGGAACATCGCATCATTTTCCGAAGCTTACCATCTCAAAAGGTTGTATATTCACCGGTGACTATAGATTTCGAATTACATGGTTGTCAAATATCAAATGCCCTTATTACATAGAAATTTTGTGAAGGATGTATATAAAGCATGCGTACCACTTGCTTGCAGGTCTACCAGTGTATGAGTGACAAGAAGCAAGGTATCTATGCAAAGATAATTGAGCCTTTTTCTCTTTTTGTAGTTGTCCTACTTATTAAGAAAACTCAAGTTGACATGTTTGTTATCATCATGTGTAACATGTCCTCAATTTGATCTCAGATGATGTTTATCATCTTAAAATATAGTTTGCAGATATCAGTTTGATCCAAGAAAATAAATTAGGAAAATATAAGCTCTCAATTAGAATGGAGATGACATCATATATGATGGGCACTTCCAAATACCCTATAAAGCTCAATTTACTTGGAGATTTGGCTCATCTGTCAAAGAACATATATGGACACCCATTGAAATGTATGTGGCATTATGCACGGAGTACAAATACATGCACATAGGAAACAAGTTTGTGGATTGAGTATAGATTTTGGTAAAGTATTGCAGGATGCAATTATGTGACACACATGGTTAAGATCCCAATAAACCAGAATATTGCAAGCACTAACACAGTGTCAACAATACCCCGAGCAGCCTCAATAGATAGACCTTAGCACCCAAGAGCTGTAATTCAGAAGGGGATCTGAACCCAACTAGTTAAAGAACGATCAGAAGGGTCCCATTGAAAGGGACCTAAGCATAGAAGCCAGGAAGGGTAACTAGATGCATATCTTAAGTACGCATTCTAATAATCGTAACCAATCTAAAACCAGTTGAGTATAAGCAACTTCATAAACTTCAACCTAGGAATAATGCCCCTTGACATACAGATCCTATCTACATTAGGGCAGTCAATGAAACCCGAGTATAATACGTTTAAGCTTCAGAAAAATCAACAAAAAATGCAACATAAAGGCAAAAGAAAATCTATGAATAACTAAAGAGGTCTCATATGTTCAGCACCAAGGCAACGCCCTAGTTTATCTTCTAGAACCTTGAGGACACTTCTTAAAACCAAAACCCATAGCTTTTAGCCAAACTTCAAGAAAAATCCACTACCCTAGGATCATAATTGTTGGGTACGGGAACGGGAACGGTTCTGGGATCGAGGGCGCGATCGGCAGATCGAAGCTATACTGAAGATCCCTATGTTAGGAATCAATGCCCGTACAGCCTCAAAGGTCGGGATCGAGGTCCATGAGTGTCGGGGATCGAGCTCCTTTATTACATGGGATCGAGAATTATTATATAAAGGTGCGAGATCCTAAGAAGCGAAGTTCCCAAGGGCATGGCATTTTTTTGAGTTTCTTAACTCAGGGAACGCTTTACTAAAAGAGATCCAAAATATTATGGAGCGAGGAATAACTTTTGTAGGAGCGAGCTCCATTTCCTTAGAACACGAGATCCTCGTGTAGGTAATAAGGATCCATGGCTTTAAAACATAGCTCCCAGCAGTTTTAACTAATAACATGTAGGCTTAGTCTTTCTATGAAATAAATAAGAAACTTTAAAGCCATCCCATATTGGTGGGATTTGGATGCCATATGTGGCGATGCTTGTATCCCGTTATTTTGGAACCTAGATCCCAATGCACTCTGGAGCGTGAACCATAAGACTAGGAAACTGGATCATGTAATGTTCAAGAACGTGAAATTAAATTGTAAAGGAACTCGTTCCCTTATAAGATGGATCGCGATCCCGAAAACACTAATTTGAGTTTCAGACGAGATCCGCTCTAGGATCGAGAGAATCGTGGTTCTGCGAGAGATCGCCAAGCAAGGGAAAAGATTCAAGTAACGATGCCTAAGATAACCCCTTGAAACAAGAAAAAGAAGGGTCCTTCACATCAAGAAATGTTAAATGCATGAGTATAGGCATGAGAGATGTCTTGAAGCCAAATATGGGTATGTTTGATGAGGAGATCAATCCACTTGTTAAGAAATAAGAAAGAAAGTGAGGTTGCAAAGTTCAATAAACAAGTTTCAAAATCAATATCAAAGCATAAACTCATAAAGTTTAGTGCATATGTTGGAGGCAGGAGCGGGTTCGAGAGTAGGATCAGTTCAGGGAATGCCAAACCACCATAGGGTGGAAGCTCCGTACGGTTAGGATCAACGACCAAATATTCAACAAGCCAAAGAGCGGGATCTATGCTCAAATATATATAAAACAAGATTGATTAATAGTATATGATAAAATTAGGATTGAGCCAATGCAAGCTTGATCCATTATCATACACCTTAGCTTATTACCAATGTCATAGTCATAGTACTCCAATTTACTAAAATAAATTGTCTTACCATATGGAGCACGCAGCTCCAGGCATTTCATCGAACTTGTACCTCATGACTTGTGAACAAAAGGAAAGTGAAAATTGTGAGAAAGAAATTCGAGGTCATGCATTCATCTCTATAAAGTTGAACATTGCAGTCTGGCCCCGACCCTAGGACCAAACAAATGCTTTTCTCCATAAAAACATTGGTATACGCATGCTCCATATAAGATTAGGCATCACTAGATGCCCTACATTATATCAAGTTATAGTGTCCTTAGTTATTTCTATTGAACAGGCATTCCGATGCATATGTATTCGATATTCTATGCATTAAAGATGCCACCATCATGGTTATCCACCTTTCCGAAGAAGTATTGGCCCATTCATTTGGTTCCCATAGCATACTGCGCTTGTAAAGGAAAAGTAGTTATTGGCTCATTTTCTGGTTTAAGGCGTTTAACAACTTTAGAAAAGTAATGGTAATTTCACAGACACAGTGTTAGAAAAACATTTAAACAACCCCATATTGAAGATAGAAAAAATTTATTCTCCTACATCATTGACTTGGGAACAAAATCACCCACAAGTTCAAGAAAAGGAAACAGAACCAGAAAGAGTTCAAAATTCAAAGAGTACCATCCTGGGAAGCAACTGACCATGGGAAAACCAGTAGCTAAGGAGCCATGCCTCCTCAAACTAAAAGCCCATCCGCCAACCGTACTTTCAGGATGAAAAGAGGAAGGAGAAACCTGCAAAAACCAAACCATTCAAACAGACAAGGCCAAAAAACCAAAGACCCAATGAAGACGCCAAGGAAACAGAAAGCACAACAATGAGAGAGTACATAAATCAGAATTATAATACATGTTAACAGGAGAGGAAAGAAATGCATACTGAAATAGAATTGGGAAGAGTTGCAGAAGCCATCTTAGTAGAGGAATGCGAGGGTGAGACTCCCCTAAAATTTACCGAAATTTAAAATCATTTACACATAATTAGTGGCTTTCATTAGAGTGCTGGTCAGAGGCTTCGATATTCATTGAAGAAAAGGAAGGAAATAATCCCGTTCCTGGAAAACAGCGATTCAAGAAGAGGGAACTTCTATTTTTGAACGTTCGGGGGAGAGCTATAAATCTTTTTTATTTCTTTTTGAAGAAAATACCATTCAAGGTGTTCTTAAAAAATCATCAAAACAAAACAACTTCTGAGGTCAAAAATATCCATACTTAAAATTCAAAAATGGTTTGGTAATGCTGCAGCTGTATCGAAATAAGTAAAGCCTCGCCTCATAACTAGTCAAAAAATGCAATTCAAGCATTGGAAAACTGTTACATGGATCATCTCAGTTTGAACATTATGGTTGAGAAAAAAAACAAGGATTTCAAGCTCTAAAAATAGTGTATATTAAACAAATTATCTAGACTATCCATTTCATCCTAAAAATAGATCCACAAGATTTGCATCATTTTTTTAGTTTCACATTTTATTGTGGGTTTGAAAAGTGATTTTAGAGCCATCGTGAAAATTCAGTTGTCCAAAATACTTTCCAGAAGATTTGAGATGAGGCTTTATTTTGTTTTAAAAAACCTAGGCCTTGTAAAAACTTCATCCTTGAAAATTTAAGGGTTTATTTTTTTTCCATTTCACAAAAGTATCTCATCAAAACATAAGTTAAAAATACACAAGGTCAATCAAGGGCTCTTTTGTAATTTTATCTATCTTAGAGACCCAGCTAAATCTTGTCGTGCCTTGCATGTTCATGGGTCAATGTATTCCAACCAGTGTTTAAAAAAACGCCGAGTCGAACCGGACTCACCCGGTTCGACTCGGGAATCGCCATGGACGGATCGAATCAGCGAAAAAAACGGGAATCGTCCGGTTCTAGAGAGAACCAGACGATTCTGCAAAGTGACTCGCTGATTCACTGTACGGAATCGGCGAGTCAAGTACGGATTTTTTTTTTTTTTTCTTTTTTGTAATACTTGATCGATTTTTTTGTAATCCATGATAGAATTTTTTTTTTTTTTTAGTAATCCATGATCGAATTTTTTGTTTTTTTTTTTTTTTGTAACCCATGATA